AGTATTTAATAATAAAATAAAAAAATTTGATGATTTTTTGCAGTTTTTTTCAAAAAAATGAGTAAGGGAAGCGATTAAGGACCATTAATGAAAAAAATTAAGAACCTATCAGAAAATGGGAACTCAATAAGTTCAATTAAAAATATTATCTGTGCCTGAACTTCACTTTCGTAATACCATCCTAAAAAATAAAATACATCCATAAAAAGGATGCATTATTATTAAACATAATTAACATAATTGTTAATAAGTTTTGAGAATAAAATAAACTTTATGAAATTTATCAAGTAGCATTAAATAGTTTACACTTATAATAGTCGGACATATTTGAAAGAAGATAATACGTTTTAATAACAGTTAGCTTTATGTATGTTTTCTTTAACGTCTCATTTTCCACATACTTGCTAAGTCCAGAGGTTTAAATAGCAGGTAGATTTTATGTCAACCGGCATAGGTTGAAATGAGAAGAAAATCATAATCAGCATGATTCATAACAAAAGACTGGCTGTTGTCACCACTGCCGCTTGCCTAGAGAGAGACCTGCTGATCAGAACAAACCTGAAAGGCCTGATCTAGGCACGGTTCGCAATTTTTGAGAGTTAGTTGGGTTCTGTCAGACGCAGTTAGTGTTCTAGCTTCGTGTAGAGTTCCAGAAAGCTATAACCCAGTTACTTTAAGGTTCCAATTAATTTACTTTAAGGTTAAAATAAAGCACCACAGCATCAGATTGATATGCTGTTTTGTATTATTTCAAGTCTCACTAGATGCAAAGAATAAATTTTACATGAATTCTTACATTTTGTGCTTATCTTGTAACCACAGTAAGGATACATGAAAGGTAATAAACTCTCTTTAATATGCAGAGATAATTTTTAAGGGTAAGCAGTTAGTTATAAGTAATTTAATTAAATTAGCTTGTTAGAAAACCTTAGTCATGTTTAATTTACATGGCCAGTATTAAATTTTATTTATTTTTTAACAATATTTGTTAAAAAAGCCCTATTAAAATCACAATCTAATAAAATTTCACAGTTTAAAATATATGTAATTTATGACATTGATTCTTAAAATGATATTAAAATAATTACACATTAAAACCTAAAAAACATTTATGTTTTGTAGCAACAACACTCAACAAAACATAAATGTGTCCTTTTAATTTGCCTTCCCAGAGATTTTGGTTAATTTATATCAATTTCCTTCTCTTTAAGCATCTTTTCTAACAATTAGAAATTTGTCTCAATACGCAAATCAATGTTCTCACTAGTTTCTGACTTGTTAACCTCTCCACAATGTACGTATGAGGGTTTATTTGATCTGGGAAAAGTTAAATAGTCCAAAATCCCAACACAGACGTGAAGCAAATTATTGCTACATCTGAAAGTAACTACAAAGTCAGACAAAGGTTTAAATAAGCCTCTCATTAAAAAAAAAAAAAAAACATAGAACATAAATGCATGATCTTATGCTAACAAAATCAATTACAGCTCATGGTGATGTAACTAAACAAGAAGAGTCAAATTCAAACTAAAAATGAGGACTCCTGGTCAAAGACTAAACAATATAATTTTAATTTATACTGACTCAGTAATTCTATCATCATAACAAATTCAAATGTCAGCAGTGATACTCCAAAGAAGAATAACTGCAAATGATCAGAGCTGGCAGGAACTAATGCAGAGAACAAGCGGAGGCTGGAAACACACTCTGTCTTACATTCCGAAAACCTCAGTTTAAAAACTGTCTAAGCGATTTGCCTTCTGGTGAGGAAATCGAAATGAGAAATTATAGTAAAGGCTGAAATTATAAACAATTGGGTAATTTACATAATAACAACCATACATATCCTTAAAGAATATTTTTTTTTCTCTTTATGTATTTAGTTTCTTTCTTCAACACATTTCCTTTACATTTTAGAATTTTTGGATTTAAAGATTTCTATTATTCTAAAAAAACTAAATGCATTTAGAATGTATAAAAAAGGTCTGTTAATTTTATTTCTTTAGTCATATGAATATTCAGAAAGAAATATAATATATGCTAAGGCCCAGTTACACAGCTGTGTGGCAGAATTTTTAAATTTAGTAACACACCAAACAACAAAATCTAGAAATGACAAAACTTTTAGAATTTAGAAAGGCACTAAACAGCAGAATTTAGGATTCACAGAGATTGCATCAGGTGGGAAAATGCCTAGCACCAGCTCTGTGTATGATGCATTAAGACATATTAGATGAAGCTTTTAAATTGTCATTTTTCAATTTCATTTATGAAAAAATTCCTTTCTATAATACTTGTCCATGTGATAAGACTAGAAGCTTTTTAATATTTTCCATGCTCGTGCCTAATAAAAAGTAGGGAAAATAAGTGGAAGATAACTATGTTAAGAAAAATATTTTAGAATCAGCAGTAAAACATTCAAATATTATGTTTTCAGTGTTAATGTTTTCATGTTCCATTTTCATGTTAATACCATGGAGGCGTTTTTCATTTTGTCACATTTTTCTGGAATCTACTGGAATCGTGGGTTTATAAATCTCGCCTTCAAATCCTTATAAACTTTCCAAGATGAAATGTCTAAAATTCTGAAGAAAAATTACTCCAACGAATTCTGTAACAGCAAAAAGACAGAAATATTTTTGAAAAAAAAAAAAAAAACACAGAAAGGGAAAAGTGTAAAATTAATTTTATAGAGAAAACTGATGCATATTCTGAGACTATAACATGGGAAAAACCATAAAAAAATTAAAAAGAAGCTATTTTTAATTAATTACATAGCCATTTTGCTTTTGCTAAGAATTGTTTCATAAATGGTGCTTTATAGCATTATACCTTGTTTATTTTTCAGATTCAAAATATTGTATAAATAAGTGGCCAAAATGGAACTACATAAAATGCCAGCAAAAATGTTTTATTTTAATGTTATTTTTTAAATATGATTTCAATATATTACCATCATTTTAATGAAATTTATCAATACTTCATTGTTTTAAAAAAAATCGTCGAAAAATTCTCAGATCTCAGAATTAAAAATTTTCTATAGAAACTGATCTCAAAATCAGCAAAATGTTGATAATAAACGAATTCCCAGCCCCAAAAGCGAAATGTTGTTTAAGAGCTCTTCATTAGAAAAAAATTAAATACACTGCTTGACATTGAAAATGCAACACCAAGAAGGAGTGGTCAGAAAGTGATGAAATTTGGAAAAAAGACAGAGACAGCAAGCAGCAATAAGTGATCTTTATTTCAAAATGATAGTCAGAATACAGAGCGAGAACGGCGTCGGCTCAGTAGGATGTAGACCACCGTGGACAGCAATGCATGAAGAAACACGTCTAGGCATAGAGTCAATAAGAGTGCGAATGGTGTCCTAAGGGATGGCTCAAAATTTCCATTTCAACCATTTGACACAGTTTGTCTTCTGAACGAGGCAAGGGCAGAGTCTGCAAACGGCATCCAATCACATCCCAAACATGTTCGATTGGTGACAGGTCAGGAGAGTACAGTGGCCAGGGAAGCATCTGTATACCTTGCAAAGCATGCTGACAGATGCGAGCAATGTGTGGTCGGGCATTATCCAGCTAAAAAATTTCATTAGGCAGCCCCTGAAGGTACGGGACTGCCACCAGCCGCAGTACATATCTAAATATCGTTGGCCCGTCACAGTGCCCTGAATACGAACTAGAGGTGACCTGGAATCGTAGGCAATAGCGCCCCAAACCATTATGCCACGTTGTCGTGTGGTGGAGCATTCCACGGTTACTGCCAGATTAGATTATCTCCACGTCGATGCCACAAACGTACACAATGACTGTCACTGGATAAACAGAAGCGTGACTCATCTGAGAACACGATGTTTCGCCATTCTGTCATCCACATCGCTCCAGTCCGGTACCATTTTAAATGTTGCCATCTATGCTGTGGGGTCAATGGCAGACTTCTTAACAGATGCTGTAAGTGCAGGCCACGTTCAACCAATCGACGGAAATGATTTTGGTTGACACGGGAACATCCAGAGTATCTTGGATGCGTCAATCCACGCGTGCTGACGTCACTCTGGTTGCACCTGCACCCCTCCTTCTTCCCACATTTCATTGTTCCAACCTGTGCACCATAGCCGATGCACCATGCTCGCATCTATGTGGGCATCAGCTGCGATTTCACATGAAGACCAACCCGCCCTTCTCAGTCTGATCACCATACCCCTCCTAAAATCGATCTGTTAGAAGTGCCTTTGTTGACGCCGGCCTGGCATTCTCTCCTATGACATGTATCCTCCAGGACAAAAACCAACTTTCTTCGATAATTCATCTGGCAGAAATAATGACACAAATATTGCCCATTCTGCATGTTCCTTTCCTTATATCTTACTTCACGTGCATCGGAGAGCTGCGGAACTTAACATCATTCGCATAACTCTGTGAAGTGCGGCTACTCTAAAATTTGCATAAATTTCTGACCAATCCTTCTTGGTGTTGCATTTTCAAAGTCGAGCAGTGTAATTTCAAAATGCTTATGTTTCATTTCTTGCTCAGAAACTCAAGCATCCTACCATTTATATTAGAAATAAGAACAAATTATAACTCATGAACCCATTCAAAAAATAAGCATATTTGTCAGTGAATCGCCAAAAATATTCCTCCAACATGCTAATTCACACTAAAATGGCAGTAGTAAAAACAAAAAGTAATTGTTAATGATTAAAATTAAGGACCTTTTTCTATCCATTTTTGTTGAAATTAAGGAGTTTTAAGAACCAAAAATGGATTTCAAAAAAACCTAAGGACTTTTAAGGACCATACGAGCCCTGTTTTATCTAAACTGCTTATTTATTTGCTTTAATTGCAACAGTAAAAGGCGTGCTTTTAATTAAATATTTTTGTTATGATTTTATTTCAAATTTATTCTGGATTATTATTATGCACACACATACACAAAATTTCATCATTACAAAGAATAAATTTTAACTCACACATGCAAAATAATTAACTGAGACTTACGTTCATCACACAATGAAGATTTCAAAATGCAGGTTACAAAACATAAAAGCTCCAAAATAAATATTTTGCAATGCATCATGGAGATGATCTTCTTAGAAAATATTCCTGTAAAACAAAGCATAAAATCACTCTAGTGCACCAATTCATATGTTTATATCTTTCTTGAATTTCATATTTTATAGCATTTTCATTTAAAGCTACTGCCAATAGAAGTCCATCTAAAAACGTTGAATGCAATACTTAAATGTTAACATCATAGTTAAACAGCTCTGATGTTAACATTCAAGTATTGCATTCATGTAACTGTGAAACTTAATTCACTTACATCTTCGAATCGTTTATTATTAAATATTTATTTTTAAAAATAAATAATTCATGCACCTGGATTTTTATCATTAAATTCAAAATTAGATCTCATTAAAAAGTAATACTATAATAACTCATTTGAGTGTTTTTGTCCATTTTAATAAGATCAGTATTATCTCTTAACTTATTAAGACAATTAAATACAAAATTTTACTAAAAGAACATATTAAATGAAAGTATGAAAATGAACTGCTACAAAGCACTAAGAATTTATCCCCCCTCATGTAATATAAAAGTATTATGTTGTAAAACGATACTGTGGAAGGAAAACAGTCATGAAATACTTTTTCTATATGACACCTTTTTATCAGACCACATATGTAATTTACCACATTTCAAAAACTCTTACCAGATGGTGAAAGAGATATACAAAACTCAATGCTGGGGTATTTTTGTTTCATGTAAAGACAGGAATAAAAGTGATGCTTCAAACAGCTTTATCAAATTTTAGCACAGTTAAGTATTCTATATTCATACCTATATTACACATAAAAATAATTTTAAATGAAGATTCCCATAAAAAGGCCGAAATAGCCAGTGCCTCAAAAAAGCTTAAATAGTCACTATTTGCTTTATGCTGATTTCAACATAGTAAAGACTAGAATGGAGTTCTTTATTAAAATTTTAAAATAAAAATTTTGATGGTACTCAGTTCAACTTACTACAGAACATATGTATACATTTTTTAAATTGCAAAGCATTTGCATTTTTTCTTAAAATACCTAATCAGGACATGGTAAGCTTTCCAATTCAGACAAGCTTCAAGCCTGTGACCCAAAGGGATATCTATCAATATGTGAAATAATTCTTTCCAGAAAAAAGGCAAAGATAAAGCAGTATGTAACCAGAATTTCAGGACACATGAAATTTAAACATTCAAATAAAATCCCAAACAAGTTTTCTAAAGAATTTGGATCTGTTAGATGTGTTGTATTTTAAACTTTCTAAGTATATTATTGGGGAGGGGAATTTTTTTAAATCACTTTTGAAACACCTTGTTGAACAGGAAATTTTGCTGAAAACCTCAAATAAGCAAAACTGATGTATGCACTCCAGAGGAGATATATAGATAATTTCTCATAGAGACAAACAGCACTAAATAGGGTTTGTCCTGGTAGTTTGTCCAGTTTCTGAATAACATACTGGCTATATGGACTTTTTAGTGGTATCTTCAATAAGTAATATAGATAAAAGTCAATTTCCACCTGAAAATCCTCCATCCTCTCAAACACATATATAAGCCTTGCATATTTTGTAATAATTAATCAACCAAATAACCAATTTCAAAATAATGTTACCAATTATTAAGCTTGCCAAGTGTCCCGGTTTTCAGACAAAATCCCGGGATCCCGGCCGGTTTACTTCTCATCCCAGTAAAAATTAAATTTGATTTTACAGATGACCTAAAGAGTCTAAAAATAACTAACTGGTAAGTATTATTTAAGATAATTACTTTGTCAGTTATCTCTGTACTGTATGAAAGGTTAAAAACTACAGAAGAGTGATGATCTGCTAATAAATAATATTGCCATCGTACCGTCTTGTCTCGCCAATCGAGGCCATGCATGATGCGAGAGGCTTTCTGGACTCAGCGCTAGCCGCTTGCGATAGAGATAAGCCAGCTAGTTGTCAGTTCCTTTCGGTGGTGTCTGTTGTGTTAGTGAGCTAGCGCTGTTTTATTTATGCTTTAGGTTAAAATTTATCTGTTCTCTGTTAAAATGGCAAAATGGTCGTGTAAATTCACCGGGGATTTACAGAATGAATTCCCTTTTTGAAGAAGTTATGTACTGGCAATCAAGATCAAGACAATAGAGTTAAATGTTCACATTGTAATTCTGAGTTTTCTGTTGTACACGGTGGTCGATCCGATATAAAAGATCATTTGCAATCGAGTAAACACAAAAAGAGTCTAGTATGTCTGCCAGCTCATCAAAACTGACCAGTTTTTTTAAGACTACGATTTCTAATGATAAAAACTTAGCAGCGAAAGAGACGACCTTTGCTTACCTGCAAACCATAGCCTAAGTTTCAATTCAAATTCTTGTTCATCAAAGCTAATTTCTAAGTTTCTTTAACCTAAATTCTCACTCGGAAAAACTAAGTGTGAGGCAGTAGTTTTAAATGCCATAGCTCCTTTAGTTCAAGAAGACTTGACCAAGTCAAACTACGTATCTGTAAGTATGGATGCATCAGTAAGTGAGTGAGTTTTTTGGCGCAAAAACCAATGACGATTATGAAGCGCCAAACAAATGGTGGGATGACCTAATTTAATGGAATGAAATACTTATTAATAAAAATTTTAAAAGCTACATGTACCAAATCCAGAGGATGAAGTCATGTAAAAAACTGGTAAAAGCACACATTAAAATAGAATACAAAATCTGCTGAACAGATTACATTAAATAATAAAAGCCAGTCTCTTTTAAATAATAAAATAAATTACAATTGGCCTCTCTTCCGATTAAACGGTCGAGAGGTAAGTCACAGCTATTAAAATATTTCTGACGAAGACTGTTAAAACAGGGACACTCAATTAAAATATGACGGACAGATAGACAAACTTTACAATTTGAACAAACAGGCTCATTTTCAGCTTTTAAAAGGTAGTTACGTGTCACTTTAGTGTGACCAATCCTGAGGCGAGTCAAAAGAACTTCCTCCTTACGATTTTTGGTTGATTCCCAATGCTCAATTCTAGGTTTTACATGTCTTAACTTGTTTTGAAGCTGAACATCCCAAATTTGCTGCCATTTTTCCGGACCTTTCCCTTGATGAAACAGCAGATATCTCTAAAAGGTATAAGGCGACTAGACAGTTCAACTGCAGATTTGGCTGCGATATCTGCAAGCTCATTTCCCTTTATTCCAGCATGTCCAGGAACCCAGCAGTACAGGACTTCATAACCTCGAATCGTTAAATTTATATGAATTTTGAGAACATCCACTACCACAGGATTCTGAGTGTTGGGAAAAGCTTCCAAGGATTTAAGAGCACTATACGAGTCTGTGTAAACTATGAACTTTTTGTGGCAGAGCTTCGAGATGAACAAAAGACCATAATATATTGCAGTTAATTCAGATGTTATGACTTGGCAAGCATGGTGCAGGCATCTGCCCTCAATGTAATCTTCAAATACAAAAGCCATCCCGACATGATCATTTGACTTTGATCCATCTGTGTATATCGGATATTAACTGCTATATTTCTGCCTGTGCTCAGCAAAGAGTTGTCTGTAAACGATCTCGTTAGTGCTCGCCTTCACGTGATGTTTGAAAACATCAAGAAGCTGAATTCGTGAATTTTCCCAAGGTGGAATTTCGAAATTCTGTACTGCTTGGGGGCGCATATCAGAGAGGGAATGTTCCTCAATGACAGGGCGAACTCTTAAAGGAAAGGTAGGAACGCAGGATAGACGCGTTTCAAATAAAACGTTACACGCATCATCGAGTAAGCACAGCTTATTGGGATGTTCAGGTTGGGATAGAATATTAAAATATTGCAAGAGGGACAATTGCTCACGCCTCAGATAAAGTGACGGTTCGTTACAGACAACGTACAGGCTCTGGACGGGAGAGGTCCTGAAAGCTCCTGAACAAATGCGCAGAGATTGATGGTGAACAGGATCCAGTTTGAACAATACTGATGGCCGAGCGGATCCATAAACAACTGAGTCATAGTCCAGTTTAGAGCGGACGAGCGCTCTGTAAATGCGAAGCATGGAGCAACGCTCTGCACCCCAGGAGATGTTCGCCAACACTTTTAAGATATTTAGTGTTTTTAGACACTTCTTTCTCAGGTTTAAAACATGAGAAAGGAAGGTCAATTTTCGGTCGAACGTCACTCCTAAAAATTTTACTTTGGGCGTAACTGGAATAATTGTACCATTCAGATATAACTCAGGCTCAGGATGGAGACCTCGCTTCCTACAAAAGTGAACACACACAGTTTTCTGTTTGGAAAAGGTAAATCCCTGTTTGTTTGACCATTCTTGGATCCTATTCAGAGCCATCTGCAATTGCCTCTGTACGTATCTCATGTCTGCCCCTCGACAGCTAATCTGCAGATCAACATATAGAGATCCCAAGATGGTGGGAGGAAGTTCTTTTAGTACAGAGTTTATTTAAACTAAACAGGGTTACACTGAGCACATGAGCCTTGAGGCACACCCTTGAGGCACACCCTCTTCCTGTTGTTCCACACAGCCTTGAGGCACACCCTCTTCCTGTTGAAAATCATCCGAAAAAACAGAGCCAATTCTTACTTGAAAAGTTCTAGTGTTCAAGAAATTCTGAAGGAAAATTGGTAGGTTGCCGCGCAAGCCACTCTCATGAAGATCGCGAAGTATACCGTATCTCCATGCCTTATCATAAGCTTTCTCAATGTCGAAGAATACTGAGACAAGGTGGCTTCTTCTTACAAATGCTTTTCGAATGGATGTCTTTAAAAGGAGCATGTTATCTACTGTTGTTCTCCCCTTTCTAAAACCGCTTTGATAAGGAGAAATAATATTATTCTTTTCAGAGAAGTAGACTAGGCGGCTGTTTACCATCTTTTCAAACAGTTTGCATACACAACTGGTAAGGGCAATTGGCCGATAGTTGGAGGGATTTCTTGGGTCTTTCCCTGGCTTAGCAATAGGAATTACAATAGCTCTCCTCCATGCACTGGGGAAAATATGCTCATTCCACACTCTATTATAAAGAGTGAGAAGGGCATTCAGTGACTTATAGGAGAGATGCTTTAGCA